ATATTATCTTGTAGGGTCATCAGGCTTACAGCAATTGCAACCAAAAGGTGTCCCCACTGCACCACAGAAGCGTCATTAGACGTACCTCTCTAGAGCACCTTGCAGCTGAGGAGGCTGTTAACCATTCTTTTTCTACTCCACATCAAAAAAAGAAACCTTCCCCAGGGAATGCCTCGACATCACATCATAGCAGAGCACAGGGGCTGCAAACTACATAAGCTATTTTCTCAAGTTTTAGTTCTCCCTCAGCTAGCAGAAGTCCAGAATTTAGGTGAAATTAAAAAGGCAAGAAAAATCTGTTTCAGCTGGCTCTATTTGAACAAAGATTGGCAGCTGCTGAAAGAAAACAACATTCCCAGGTGTGAAAAGTACTAACTTCACTGAGTTTTAGTATTACCAGGTAGTTCCAGAGTCCATGAAGGTATCTCACAAGCTTATATTTTAATAACTAGTCTAGAGTTACAGTAGCAGATTTAGTGCCCTTAGTGCTGTGCTTTCAACTCCATCCCACCTGGATGTTATTACATTATTTCCCAAAACAGAACTACTAATTTCTAATACAGAATTACCTATAATAACATTTGATTTTTTTTAAAGAAGGGACACACAGTCTATAAAGGCACAGATAGATTAAACTCCTTCAGCTAAATACATAAAGCTTGAGTTTACATCTCTATGCAATACCTCAAAAGACAAGCAATGTGTAACAGGAATGTGCCAAGCCCAAGCCAGATGTGATAGTTCCAGCATGGACATGCAAGATTCTCAGTACATTCAGTGGAAAGAAGAGAGATGCAGAGCAACTTGTTCAAATGGTTTAAGTAGTTAGGAATTTTAGAACAGTGACAGTATTGTACATAATGCAGGCTTACAGTTTGAACCTTGTCTGAGTGGGACAGACGATGGATGAACCTCCAGGGACTGGATTTAGCAGAGGCAGGAGTAACTGGGAAACAGTCTGCGTGTTCTGTTAGTCCAAATCCTACAACAGTTATGCCAGCTCAGATCAATAGCACACAAAAGCCTCCAGTATAATGGAAGCTACAATACCAGAAAAATAATTGAGACAAAAGCCTATCATCCACCTCACACTGCACAACTCCAACCTGATACATCCTTGATGAAGGTAGAATTAACCACAGGCAGTGCATTCATGGTATCAGCTCCAAGTGAAAAAAGCTGTGTAGTACCCAGCAATCATCCTTAATGTTTCATTTATACTCTTTTTCCTCCTATTCCTAAGACATAGTATCTGCTTACCTCCTCTTGTACCACTTTCCTTTTCTTTCTCCATCATGGCTATCATGTGCTGTCAATTACTTCTAATTAATTCAAGCAGCCAGTAACCTCCAATGCCATCACTTTCCCTTCTTCTACTGTAAAAGCAGAAAATTGCACTGAAGAAAAATGTTTAGAAGGGGAGCAATGACAGCCACAGAAACAGTAGGAACTAAAATTTGGAGAGAAGTACATTCTAAAAGAGCCCCAAAATACTTTCCATAAAATGTGAAGCAAAAACTTGATAGCAGGAACTTTTAAACATATCATGGGTTGGTTTTCTGAAGAGTATCTAAAAATAGGTAGGTAAAAGCTGATTAAGTATCACTTATGATACAGAGTGCTTTCCTCATGACAGACAACAGGAATAAATTGGTTGGGTCCTAAGATTTTTAGCTTGACTCTATTACTCTCTTCATTTCCACTTTACCTACAGAGCACTATATGTTTTGTTTTTATTTACTAGTATTTCAACAAAGACAATAAAACCTATTTCACTGGAAAATGGAAGGAAAAAAAACAACAAGCCTGCAGGCCCAAAAATATTCTTGGGTACATTTCTGTTGAAGTTCATGCATTTGTTCTTCTGAATTAATTTGGGGGCAAGCTGAGAGTAGGGCTTGGTTAGAAAGAATAACAGTGTTTTGTCATCCCCACTGAAACAGAGCTCAGCACAGCATGGTGCTTGGCAGCAGCCTCTGATCACTAACTACCCAGCAAAATTTGCTCCTGCTGACAAGCCCAGTTGTGTTGATTCAAAGATGGAAGGACATAAACACATAAACTGCCCTGATGTCTCCCGCTGTGTACAAATAATGACATTATACCTCTTCCCAATGCATAAAGATTGCGAAAGCACAAGTGGTGCAATGTCTTGTCTGCATCCATTTTAAATGGTTTGTGTTGTCTTAATCATTTCTACCTCTCGCTTGTGCATGGGGGGATGCCAGGACTTCCTGATGCCAGTGCTGATCAGAGCACAGTGAAATTCCACGTCACTGGCTGCAACCAAACTTAGAATTGGCCCTGGAGGTGTCTGCCTGAGTAACTGCGGTTTGCTCTTCTGAGCATGGCATGGCTTAACTGCAGTTTTTAGCCCTTTGGGAAGAAGAGAAGAATGATTCATCTGAGTGTACTATGATGGCTGTTATCAATTAAATAAAAAGAGATCAGCCAGAGCTCTCAGATTTCCTGATAGATTGTTTTACAATAAAGTTTAGGAAAGGATGCTGTGCCTCTTGTAGTAAGTACTGGGAGTTGGCTGACTGACTACATCAATAGCAAGCTGATAGAAGCTGAAAGCACATCCCAAATATTGTCGCCATCCATCTATAGCAAGGGACTCTCAGCTGCCTTTATGCTTCTCTTGCTTTGTTTTTGTTTTGTTTTGTTCTTTTCCACTTATGACAACACATGTACTTCTGTTTGCTGGTATCAACAACAAAGCTCAAGGCAACGCTTTTCACAGGGTGGACAAACACAGGTGATGGTCAAGGCAGTTGAAGGTCACAGATGCACAAAATTAGCTTGAAAGCCCAAGCAGTGCATTGTACAGTCTGTGTGAGCAGGGCCAGCAAACAGAACAGGTGTGACTGTGACTGGAATTCAGATGTGCTGAAGGAGTGCTAGACATGGCTGGCATTGGTTGCAGCTCTCAGCGAGCAAAGGTCAAAAAAGCAGAAGGAACAGATTTTAAAATTAAGAGATCTGCTACTCTTCCCTCAAATTCTCACCTTTGATCATGTCAATCCATAACATATGCAGCAGTTGGAAGATGGTATTTATCTTGCAGCAGTACCTCCCTTCAGCACGAATATTTGTATAGCCAGGTAATAAACATTATGGAGAGTTACAAAGAGCTAAATGTGTGTTTTTATTGGGTAAGGTTTCAGCTAGATTGGTTCCTGAGCTGGCTCTTTCCATGGCTTTTCTAACAATGCTGAAAAAGCAGGGCCCAGAAAAACACAGTCACAAGGGTGAAAGTGTGGGGGAATTCAGAAAGTAGTGGCTGATCTGCCCTTTTCCATGGCAACATGGATATGATAAGTAAAAGAGACATTAACTTGTGAGATCTGGATTCTTCAGTTCAGTTTGTTTCAGCCACAGATTTATTGCATGACCTCAAATGACTTAATTTCCTCATTGATAAATTCCCAATTTAAAACTGAGGGACACATTTCTGCTCTAAGAATATAGTTGTGCTTATTTCATTTGTCAGGTAAGGGTGATATAAAATACAAAGATATAAACTAAAATACACAGAATAAATTTTGCCCATTTTCTTTAATTTTTAAAAACAAAAACATATGAAATCTTGTGCCCTTGAAAACCAAAAGAATCTTTCTATGATCAAAATGTTACATAAACCTTGGACGTTACTGATTTTTATTGAATTATTTTAAATAATACTGTGGATACTTCAGAAAAGGGCAATACTGTTTCTAACACATAAAAAAATCATCACAATATAGTTGTTTTCTGCATTTTCCACCTTCATATTGTTTCAAAAACAAAAATAATAATAATCACAGTACTACTAGGAAATTTGCCCTCCCACAGCCACCCTCCCAAAAAAAGAAATATATTTTTAAAAATATCAGTAAAGTGTTAAACAAGTCAGATATTAAATGCACACATTTACAAGCACAGCATATTAGCAATACAGTATAATGCTTTAGACCATGTCAAACCACATGTATGTGTATAAAGCTAGCAGTGAAATGGTTCATAGCAGCAGAACAGGAAGCCTATTCCATACAAAGCACACAGTTCCTGTGCAGATATTTGGATGAATACTACACTTCAAGGTACACTGACAAGCCAAAATGCACAAGTCAGGGTTTGTATTTTTTTTCTGCTACAGCAACATGTGTTATGATTTAAAGGGTAATCTTGATTTGTCTGAGATTTTCCTTTTGAACCTAATGGGTGGCCCAGTTAACCAGTGTGGATTCCACCTATTGGCACATTTTACTGTAAACATTCATAAAAATAACTTCATTGAAATCATGGCGAAAGGCCAAGCACGACTTAATAGTGCAGCTACATTTGCTCATCCTTCACTGAAAATGGGTTGATATTTACATCTCAGGGCTCATCTGTGATTTTGGGGTTTTAGGTTCTGGGTGGAGAAAAAAACTAGAAAGGAACACCAAGTTAGAAATATTTGTCACTTACTTGGACATAAGAAAAAAAAAATACTAGATTCTGGAGTGGAACTGTTTTCAGCTTGCAGTCATGTCATTTTATTTTCTACAGCTACGTAACTCAATCTGGAGTTTCAGTTTTGGGAACATTTCTCTTTATCATATATAATTTCCCAACTGAGAGTGATTTTCATTAGTCACCTCCAGTTCTGTATGTCAATCTCAAGAGACCCCCTGAGCTGGCCCAACATGCACAAGATAATGGCTTTGCACTGTTATGAAGGCTGGCTCCTTCAACATGTCCTTTACTAAGCACCTAGTGATAGAGACATGCAAATTCAAGCAAGACTTTGAATGTTTGAAGTGGAATTGCGGTAGGAAAGTTTTTAGACACCAAAAATACAAATAAAATGAAGTGAAACAAAATAGACCAATTAATGCTGTCACTTGATACAGTGATTCTATGAAAGATGCTTTTTTAACAGGTATGGTATCGAGATCATAATGAAATTTTGCCTACTTATACAGCTCCATGTAATATTACATGTGACCTCCTAGTCACATGACAGTCCTAGTGACTTCCAGTGAACTGTTTTCACTACTAAAGCACCAGTAGACACTTTTTTTTCCAATAAATTCATATGTTGGTATCTGAGGTTTGCTGATCTTGAATTGCAGAGAGGACAGCAGATTTCATGACATTTTGTCAGCGTTCTCTTAGGCTGTTTGTCTTTCCCCACTGAATACTGTGCAGTACTCCTCTACAGGTTTATCATCCAGCCATTAAATGAAAAACGGGATGGGAAAAGAATTAACTGTCCAGAAAAAAACATTTTGGAATATTGGCAGAAGGGAAAAAAAAAGAGAGAACCAAGAGTCTACCCACAGATTTCGATACTTGAAGCAAGCACTTGCTTACCTCATGGTAAAATTCCATCAGTTGGATTCGTATAAAATCTGTTTTCAATCAGAGGGAGGAAGTTAATACAGCCGATTGAATAAAAAGGTTTCATATCAGAAAGCTCTACTACTGCCTTTGTGAAACAGAGAAGTAACAACTTCCCAGCCCTAATTCCTTCATCTGCACAGTGTACAAATTACCTCCTGGAACTCTGGTAAAAATTAAGGACCAATTACTCTGGTGTTCCACAAAATAAATTCCTACTCTAACTTCAGTGCAGGCCTCAATACCATTCAGAGTAAAAAATCAGTGCCTAATATGAGAGTTTTTAGAAAGTACCTGGAAAATCAGAACAGCCATGCAATGCTACACATCACAATTACAGGATCCCTGATTTCTTTCAAGGGGATTGAACAGACAGACTGCCAAATGTTTGAAGAGACAGAGGCCAAGGTATGGAGAGCTCTAAACCTGATCTTTTTTTTCCTTAGTACATCTCTGCATACATAGAGAGACCTTGACCTCCTCCTGTTGTACAAGCATAAACACATTTCACTTCAGGGGATGGGAAGTGTCAACCAAAATGAAGTACTGGCTACCCAGCCACTAAAGAAAATGAAAAAGCTTTAGAAGTCTTCTGAAGCAGTACATGTCATCTCAGAGGGCCTTAACTTGCAAGAAAAGAAAAATTTATAACTCTTAAAAAATATATATTCTTAATCCAATCTCCAGAAAAAAAACCAACAAAGAACAGTGACTCAGAAGTGGGGCTATCTCACAACATTTTCAGGCCTGTTGGAAAGAGATGGAACATGGAGGGAAGGCAGGAAAAGCAGTTGAGGCGGTGCTTCCAAGCTTCACAAAACTTGCCCTGAAAGAGGAGCTTTGTTAGGTGCAAAACTCAGTCTTGCAGCTGTGCTGGCCCAGAAGAAAGGCTGAATCATAGACGGCGTGGTGCAAAAGCCACTGATCTCAGTTGGAAAAGCTCCTGCTGGTTTCAGTTGACTTTGGGTACAGCCCACTTTAGACAGCTCTAAGGTAACAGCATTTAACATGTGTGTTAAATAACGTAGCAACATATCCTCAGCTTCTTCCAATATAAACAACGGGACATTCTGGTACTTTTTATATACATACATTAAAAGCTGAAATGGTCTGAAATACCTGGAGATTAGAATGCATATAGCTATACAACGTCACACCTGCCAGAAATCAGAGTAGAAAAGCTTTACAGCCCATTATACAGGTCTCTCTAATTTCTAAAAAGCATTTACTGAAATTACCATATTACAAGAAGTCATTACTAACATATCATATAATACTATTTCTTTTTCTTTTACATAATCTTATTACTTATATAGTAATTTTTAAAAAATCACTTTTAAACAAGTATACAATTTTCACTTTAAAATTAACTGGTTAATAAAATTTTGTGCAAAACAAGCCAGCTTCTATAATTAAGTGAATTTATTTATTTTTATACAAAAAAAAAAAAAAAAAAAAAAGGAAAAAGGAAAAAAAAAGAAAAAAAAAGAGTTCTTTCAGAAATGTGTCTCCTTTTCCGTAATGGCTGAAATGGTGCCATCTCCTTTCAGTTTGGCATCGCAGTCATTTATTGCTGCAATGTAGCATCTTCCTCCAAGTTTCCCTCTCATCTTCAGATCCGAGCTAGGTGTAATCAATTTCCTGAATTTCTAGAGAATGCAAGAAAATGGAAATCATTACCTTTATCCTGCTCAGAGTATTTCTCAAACATTGACTTTAAACCTGTCTTTTCTTGGAAGTCTCACTTCTCGTGACCCTGTCCATCCACAAGACTGCACTGCAATTCTTTTCACATCACACCAGAGCAAACGATAGAGAAGGAAGGTGAAGACAAAGTAAAAGAGAATTTTCATGCTAATTTTCAGTTACAGTCTCCTTCATGAGTAAATTCAGAACAATGCTGTGGCTATAGCCTGTTTCATAGATTCACAGGGGTTGGTAGGGACCTCTAGAGATCATCAACATAAGAAGGTACTAGTGAGATACCTACTTTTATTGTGTATTATCTAAGGAATTGTAGACAGAACCATAACATTGTTCAGGTTGGAAAAGACCTTCAAGGTCATCAAGTCCAACCTCAACTCAACCATAGTACCCTAACTCCAACACCCACCACAAAGTCACGTCCCTGAACACCCCATCCAGATGGTTTTTAAACACATCCAGGGATGGTGACTCAACCACCTCCCTGGGGAGCCTATTCCAGTGCTTAACAATCCTTCTGTAAAGTTTTTCCTGATGTACAACTTCTAAACTAAACTTCTACACTATCTAAACTTCTCCTGGCGCAACCTGGGGCCATTTCCCCTTGTCCTCTCGCCTAGATGACAGAGCCATCTTCTTCTGGAATATGAGAAATCCCCAAAAGCTAAAAAGATTTATGTCCTTGTTTCTTTGATCATAGGCATCTTCACTGTCTTTTGAGAAATTTTCTTAAATTTAATAATCCTAGTCTAGACCTGAGATAGCCTGATACCAAATCTTAGTAAATTGTACTGAGTATTTATTTTTGCCTTATTTCTCACTTAGAGAGCTGTAATTGGAGAAAGTGTCCAGCAAACCTATGTGAGTGTTTGCTAACCAGCTCCTGGACGAAAATCCTTGGGACACAAACATCAATTATCAAAATCATGGAAAGACTTGAATGAAAGGCTGATATAAACCTTCTTGATTTAGGTAATGTTATAGACATTTTAAACTTCAAATTCAGCAGGAAAAGGAACAGCAGATTAGAGCACTGGTTAGCTACCACAGGCTCAAGCCAGTGAAGGCAGAAAGGCAGTGTGGAAATTCCAATGAAAACAGAGAGACTACAGATGCTTCTTTCCACCAAAGACAGTACCAGGCTGCAAGAGTCAAATACCATTGGAACACATATTTGGAGCCTACCTGAAACAATGACATTGATTTTCTGATGAAACTGTGCATAGTCTTATGCAAGCAAGACTTCCATTCCAACTTCTTTGTCAGTATTGCTAAACTGAAAATCTCACCTCTATGAAAGTGCCTTCTGCCTTCCAGAACTTAATGCAGATCCACAAAGGGATACAAATCATGGAAGAGAGAGCCATCAGCCACCCTATGCCATAGCCCCAGTCAGGATATGTATATACATTGTTATACTTCAAAGGCTTGTATTTCACCAGGAAAAAAATGAAGATTCCCTGAAATAAGCAGAGAAAAATATTAGCAGTATTTCAAATAGCACTGCCTGTCTAACAAGAAAATGATTGTGTGTTTAGGCAAGGCCAATCTACCTAAGGGTAGGAAGCAGAGCTTTACAGTCAGAAAAAGAAAAAAAAACAAAAAACCAAAAACCAAATAACACAGCAATATATTCTTCTATGTACATCTGAAATAATGTGTCTCAGATCCTTGCACTGAAATTAACAACCTTTCAAGTTTTAATCCTATTTACCACTCAGTGACAATAAAACCTGCATTTTGATGGCGAACAGTACCTGGGCAGGAAAGATTAAGTTTTGCTACCATGAACCAGCTGTGATTAGGTGACACTCTCCCACCTGTCATGATGAAAAATGAAAGCCACAGTTGTCAAAGTTGCCTTAATCTGCTGTCATAACTGCAGTTCTGCAGGCCAAATCTTTCATCCTCTCAGAAGCTCTAATATATTTGTATAAATTAAACCAGTGTATAATTAAGCAGTTTAGACTTCCTAAGTTTACATAATACAGAAAGTTGCCATGTGTTTACTCCAAAGTCACAACAAGAGTGTACAAGAGCAAGTGACATTTTCTGCATTTCTGAGTTGGAGAAAAATAGACAGGAATTTTCACAACCTTGAAAATGGTTGAGCTCAATGAGCCTGGATCTTCAGGTGCTCTAATGTCTGTGCTTGCTATCACTTCGTTACGGGAAAACTGAGAAGTTTTAGTACCTAATATTCAAAATCTTGTGGATCACGTTTATGGGCAATTTGATCATGCATCTTTTGTAATTTTGTCTCTTTTATGTAGCCAAAGCACAGTGCTGTACTTTCAGCTTCCTCCTTCCCCTTCTTCATGCATATGAATCGTATCTTTTGTTTATTCTACTATCTAAGCTAGAAGGAAAAATGTGCAGACTTCTTTGGAATATGTCTAGTCACCCAAAGAGAGGGGAGGAAACAGGATTCTGGAGTGACAGGGAAACCTACACAAGTCTGGAGGAGTTTGAGTTATGCTTGGTAGGTACAGAGTGTATTACCGAAGCACTGAAGAAAAATGTCTCTTATATTGGCAAACGTTCACTTGGGCCTCTGAGTTTATCTCTTCCTATTACTGTATATACAAAGATTTCTAACAATTCACAGAACACATAAATTTAACAATTTTTAAAGATTCTATAGAGTTTTTGCATTAAAACATACACTGCAAATCAATAGGTATTTTTCTCAACTGTTGAACTATTAACAGCAATAAAATTCCAAAACTACACACAAAATATCCCTTGCATCTAAAACAAGTTGCTCAGATATTCTATACTTACTGCACAAATACCTGGAGTTAAGACCATCCAGCACCACTTAATCAACGACAATGGTTTATACCCAATCATATCCTCAATGTTATCATAAAAGCGATTGCTGCCTGCCCAAAAAAGCAAAGCAAAAGATGATGTAGAATGTACATGCACAAGGTTACAGAGGTCAGCATTTAAAAGTGAACAGACAAAAATGTGGGTTCTGTCAAAGCTTCAGAAATTGAGGCTGCTATCTCTTTGTCTCACACATACAACTGTCTTTTGTTCCATGCTTCTGGCAGGGATTGCTGCCTACATACATGTCTGACAAACAGCAACAGAGAGCCGTGGTGGGCAAGCTGTCAGACAAGAATGACTTCTGTCAGTAACAGTTTGAGTAGCCCAAGCTGAAAAGTACATTTCCTACAAGCTCATGCATGAATCCTTAATTAGCTCACGACACACGAGATCTGAAATTCATATATGCTTTACAAAATAACATTCTGAGTCTTTTGTATGTAAAGAAATGCTTGAGGAAGTGCCATGAACATACCTGGATCTGTGCTGGTTTTCTCCTGACTTTGCTGACAGAAGCAGCAGAGTGAGGAACACTACTATGTCCCTTTTGTGTTAATGAGGTATGAACTCGAAGTGGATTTATCTGTGAGTGTCAGATGTAGAAAGGAACGTGGCCTGCACAGACATTTTGTGAGAGAAGAAGGACTTATTTCTTTCTAAGGCAGCTAGTGGAAAGTGAAGGTCAGTCCCAGGAAAGGGCAAGAAAAAAATCCAGGAGAAAGCATGGGAATGTAAAGGGCCCTGCTTTGCAAGCGTACATGGCCTATGTGTTCGTTTTCCTTGTGGAAACAGAAAACTTCATAAGTACTCAAAACTGCAGCAATTTTTCATTGACTCACCATAAACCCAGCCTATGCAGACACATTCAAATATGGCAACAAAAAGAAGGCACATGCCACTAGCTGCATAGGAGTCGAATAACTGAAAGACGTACATTCCACCCTGCAAGACAGATACAGAAAGAGGACAAAAAAAACACAAACAAAAAAAACAAAATGAAGTGTCATGTTGGCAATGGTATGAATAATTCATAACAAATATGTATTTAATTTCACAACCAGTCTGTTGGTTATCTGGCAATCTTCCTGTCAAAGTTGGTTCCTTCCTGAAAAAAGAATATTCATTTTTCACTGATTTTTGTGAACAACCTCTTGTTTCAAGCACTTCAGATTGTTCCCTATGCCAGCTGAATACTGCACATTTGCTTTAAGGTAGTAAATAGTGTACAAAGAGAACTACGTTGCACTTGTTTCTGAAATGCCATCCCACCTCCATACCTTTTTTCTTCAATTTCACTTGTTATCACACAAAATGTGATAGATGAATGCAGGAGATTTTGATTTCCAGATCAGAGTAGAAATAGGGTTTTGTTTGTTTTTGTGTCTGTACCACTAATACATAAACAAGTTAAAATGCTGGGAAAGAAGGCAAAATCTATTGCTACTAGAATCTCCAGTGGCAGAGACTGCAAAACAAGTAATTTGAATATAACTCAGACTTTCGGCTGCATTAATTACACGAGTCTGTATTAAGTGATAAAGCATGAAATAATAAACATCCTGACTCAAGCAAGCTTTTCATTGTTAATGGTTTTTTTTTAACAATTAAAGATTTGCTTTTTCAAATTATTTTAAAATAACAATCATCGCATTTCCAAAAACCAGAGCAGCCAAAACCAAGCAGCATCTTCAGTGAGCACAGAATCCATACACAGTGTGCACTTTGTAATCAATAGTCCTATAATTTTCTGCATTATGTAGTACCACAGCACAAATTAGCATGAAAAAAGGTATACATGCTCAACCAAGACATGTTTGTCTTGGTTTTATCAGTATTCCTTATCACTACATTGTGCAGCAGGCTGTTGGGTGCTGGAGCACAGTGCACTGTGGAGCTGTACTTCCTAGGTCCCGTGATTCAAGCAGTCTCAGTTACTCCTATGTGACAGTCTTCCTCATCCTTATTACTTGAATACAGCTTAATTATTTAAATTGTCACATCTATCAAAAACACCATTATTTTCTTCATTTCCTGTATTTTTTCTCATTCTTAATCAGAGGTGCTCAGAGAACTGGCTGACTTTCTAGAGTCTTTGCCTCTAGGCAAGATGAGAAGAAAAACTATAAAGTCAAATTAATAACATTATGGAAAACCTGACTAATATTATACAAATAATATTATACCAATCTACGTGCAAGATACTTAATCTCTTATCCCATATGCATTCAACACTGAAATAATAATGAGATTCACAGACCATTTCAATTGAAATAAATCTCATTTCAGCCACTGCATCATTTAACACCAACAGTCACCATCTTCTTTTTTGAATGAGCCCTTTACTTCTGAATAAAATTAATAAACTTTCTTGTGGTGAGTTTTCAGCTCCTTCATGCTGAGGTCTGAGAAACTTCTGTTCAACTGCAGAGGGTCAGGTCTCTTTTGAGAAAGACATCTGAGTAGACTGGTATAAAATGTCACTTCAACAAGAAAGAAAAAAAGAAAGCAAGCAACAACAAATTTCATTTTGTCCTAGTCTCCATTTTTCTCCCATGGTATGGATGAAATTTGTTCTTCTTCAGCAACAAAGCAAACTGAAAAGTACATGGTGCAAGGACCATGGATCTCTGCAGAAGGAATGTAAGTGTCACCAGATGAGTTGATGAAGCCCTGGGAAGCTGCTTCTCTGGGAAACCCTGCCTGATACTGCTGGACAAGAGACGCATAGTCGACTTTCACAGTTAAGACAGCCAGGGTTCTCCAGACACACGTTCCTCTGGCATTTAACTCCACAGCTCATCAGACTTGAAACACTTGTTCACTTCTCTCCCTAGTGCAGGGAGGCTCTGATGTCTGAGCAAGTGAAAAAACATGAGCAGAGGAGAGTATGGACTCTGCCTGTATTTTCAAAGTTTTGAGAAGCTAAAACAAAAAAGAAGACGACTGTTTATTCAAGTCACTCTCTAAAGGTAGCACTGAGCAGCAGGACTAAAATCCTACAAAAGCAGCAAAAGATTCCAGAGTTTGATTTGTTTGAAAAAAAAAATTTCTTTTTTTTTTTTTTTCTCTTATCAAATCAGTTTCTGCTCAGAAATGGACTTTACTGATGGGGTTGGCCTGATGATATAAAAATCAATCACATTTTAAGCTTTTTTTCACTTCATCATGTTTACTAATTTTTTCATCTAACATTTTATTGTCTTCAGATTGGTCTGCCCAGAGTAAGTCAGCTGAAATCATCGTCAGTATATGCGGTTGGCTGGTGCAAAGCAGATGGAATTTCCTTGGCCAGATAAATTCAGCTAAGATATTTCCTAAACTCAAAAAACTGAGTTTAGGAATAAAACTGAGGACATGTTTCAAATGTTATAAATTAATTGATAACAGTCTCTCAAGGATTTTGTAGTCATATTTCTGACAGTGCACTCTGTCTATGGCAAACATTCACGTGCTTTATCTGTCACTCTTGTAAGACACACATTTCCTTTAGTCTGTAGGTGTTGAACAAAGAACCTCTTACCTCAGTTAACATTATTAGACCAATGAAATATGACACAATGGAAAGGCCAAGAATCAACAGTTCTCTTCTGTAGCCCCTTCGGAAAATCTTTGGATACATATCTACAACAGCTGTCACAAGGCTTTCAACACACACGAACTAGAACGAATGATAAGAAAGTACAAATAAAATATGTATCTCATCTACTCCTGGGATTTGGATTTGCTACAAAACACTTCAAATATCCTTCTATGCTTTCATCATTGAGAAAGACTGAATGATCCCTCAGGATACTATAAACAGAAGCTCAAACTGAGAGGAACATCATTTCAGAATTAAAAAGCCTACAGCTATGGATTTCCAGTCTACCACCAAATTCAAATATTTGAAGCCGCTAATATTATCTCGGAATTTATTTGCCCTGTAGCAGTTGGATTACATAAAACTTAAATCTTTCAAACATTGCTTGAATGATGTGCGACTTTTGTAGGACTGCAGCAGAATTTCATTCTAAGGAAACTGTTTCTCCAAGGTGAAGCTCTTTCCATTTTACAGAAGAAAGACATTCTATAAAGCTATTAAGTGCCCAAGATATCTAATGAGGGAGGGAAAAAGCATTCCTGCTACCTTTAAAAATCACCAGAAAACCAGAGACCCAAGTGCCTGGCTCACAGCTCTGGTGTAAGGTTTCCAAAAGAGCCACCAAAGTGAATGCCCAAATATAGACTACATAAAGCTGTATTGAGGCTGAAACAATGGTAAATAATAACAGAATCTCTATTGTCACATAAATGAGATTCAAAATAATAAACTTGAATCAATGGTTTTAGGCAAGGAATTAAGTCAAGAGTTCATTCTTCCATGAAGATAAATGCTGTTTAAATCAAGGATGATGACACACACATACAAGGAACTTCAAAGTATTTGAAGTGTGTTTATTTCATACCTGACTATCTAGTCCAAGGAAGATGAGCATCATGAAGAACAGAGTTGCCCACAGAGGAGAAAGAGGCATCATGGTAACAGCTTTAGGGTAAGCAATGAATGCTAGTCCTGGTCCTGAAACAAAAGAAAACAAAGTAAACAGTTTCACACAGTTATATACTTTATATAACGACAATAAAGAACTATTAACTTTCATTGTGTTTCTAAGTCCAAGTGATGGTAATGTAAGTTGGATAGCTAATTTCTTATAAACATGGGCCTTATTGTCTGTCTGGACTTAAAGTAAGAAATTTTATACTTAATGTGAGTGTCTCAATGTATGTGCTCGAGAGAAAAAGGTACTGACATTAGGAGATGGTGTAAGCAGTCTAGATATCAAAAATATGTGGTTGGATAGTACATCTTAAGAAGGAGTTGAGATGACTTCCAAAATTTTTTCCAAAAAGCTGTAAAGCTGTTTTCTCAAATAAGTAAAAACTCTTTACATGGAATTATTCTAACATATTCTAAGAAGTAACAGGTGTTTAATTTGATTTCTTTTCAAAATATCTGCAAAACAGTTAACTTATCCAAAGGATGTGACACAGACTAGCTAATCTGACAACTCTGGGTCTTTCTTCTGTAATCAAAAGACTGCTTTTGGAACTTACCTGATTCTGCAACTTCTGCAATGGGAACACCTTGTTCATAAGCCATAAATCCAAGCACTGAAAAGATAGCAAAACCAGCAACAAAGCTTGTGCCACTGTTCAAGCAGCAGAGCATGATGCAGTCTCTGAAAATATAAATAAGAAATACTGCAGTTGCCAGAGCCTGGGTTTCATTCATAGAATGAGCCATAAGATTAACATCTGTTTCTGTTTTGATTTTTTGTTTCTGTTCATTTTCTGTTCTGGGAAGGAAAAGTGAGAGGGAATCTGGATTCACTGATTAACAAGCCACTGAATTTTTGAAAGCAAGTGCCCAATAACCAGTGGAAAGAAAAGAAAGTTTATCTAATTTTCCATCAATTTTTAATAAGTATCCTTGGTAGAAAGGCATCAGAGTCAGACTGAAGTCCTAACGGATTTCAAATGATGGGAAACAGTCAAATTTTTTTGAAAACTTTACATTCTTCCAAATGAATGTCTTGACAATCACCTGAATAATTCAGGGACTCCACCCTCTATCTTCACCTTGCCTGACAGCCTGGATATTGCTGGAAATTCATTCTACCTTCCTTAAGGAGCTTCTCTGATGAGAGAGAAGAGTCTGTAGAGCTTTCTGCATCCCTGCAGTCACTTCCTTGTCTATACAGATTCTCTAAAGGCAAATTCGCATTACTCTTTTAATCTTAGAATGGAAGCTTGATCAAGAACACTTTCTTTTTCTTCCAAATGTTGTCATTTTGTTAACAGCAGGTGAAATTGCTGACTTTTCACCTGTACCACAGCAAGCAGCAAGGAAGCCAACTCCTGAATTGTGAAAGGGCTTATATGCAAAATTTATGTTGCTGAGGTACAGTCCCCAGTACGACGGTGGGGAACTGCTCTGTGTCCAGCAGGGAGCTGGATCAGTTCTATAAATACAGAGCACATGAAGCAGGAACAAAAACATTTTTCTGTCTACAGAGTCTGAAGATAATCCTTTCCTTAGGGATTTCTTAGCTTACTAAAAATTACAGGAAACTTCTGTACATATATATATATATATATTTAAACTATGTGGAAAGCACTGCCAGCTGATTTTACTGCCACTGTTTTTGTCTGTTCAGAATAATCACTGTTGATATGAACTGTTGTAAATCCACAGAGGATCTGGCCTCAGGTAATTGTCTCACTGTCTTAAAGCATTAAAATGACAGATTAATAAAGACAATAGAAGTTCATTTCCAGCTCAAAAATGTGCATTAACTTGGTTGCAATTAATTTACAATATTAGTGATGTGGATCAAGTTGCTAGTAAGAAAACTCCTTTTCCCACTAAAATATGTAACATCATCATTTTCCACTGCAATGTACCTTTGTGCTCCAGTAGAACAGGGTGCAGAATAGCAGCAGTATGCTACAGACAACAAACTGTACATACTACAAGAGGCAAAACCATGGCCTGATTTTAATTTTTTAAGTGGTAGTTGGGATGTAAGTTTAATTCTGCTTTCTTTTTTTGAGAAAAGGCAGCATTTTTTTTCTGTCTCTGTATGTCTTAATCTGTTAACAGCCTAGTTTCTCTCAGCTCTTTCTGCAGTTATCTTCTGCCCTACCCATTTCCTCAGTTTTCTGAAGAATCTTATTTTGTGATGCCATCAAATCTGTCCTATTGAGGAATTTTGTGAAAATATTTTGTTAACTGAATTGCAAAGCTTGAATTTATTAAAAACTATTCTGCTGCAGCACCATTCTCAGGAGCTTTAAAAATGAGCGGCTGCCAATCTTCTTCACATGGGTGCCAACCTATGCTGTCAGAGGAAATAAAATTACATAAGCTTTCTGGTCACAAATCAAAAATCCTGATTTTTGCAATAAGTTATAAAACAATCACAAAAAACATTACTGCAGTCCTTGAGGCAGTAAAAAGGTAGTTCCTAAATAGGATGCAACTCAAAAGAAATTAAATAACTGAGAGAATGAGCACTCTTAGTTAAAGCATCTCTTATGCTGGTAAAAAAAAAAAAAAGAAAGCCCTTATTGCCCACTGCTCTGTAAAAGCATTTGTTGCTCTCCTCTCTTTTGAGGCATCTCTATCGTTGTTCTCAAAGTAATGTCCATCAACATTGTTTGAAGTGTTTGGGACTTACACTATTTAATGCAGCAAGATGTCTGGCAGTTTGGCACTCATAGCCTTGCAAAACAATAACTTTTGCTGACAAGTTACTTGAGTGTTTTAGATGGCAGAGTACCCTTAATTGCTTTTGGAGAGTTTACATTCAGCTGGTAGATACATTTGTGTGGCTGTGGTTTCCAGATCTCTCTTTCTCTGCTGGATCCTACTATTCTGTGTTTCTCTGACAGAAGCACAAATTGCTGTTAGGAAAACGTTTTCTGAAACCAGCTTCAAATTCTTCAAGTAAAGCTATAATTTAGAATTTAAATATTTTCACAATGGGATTTGTTCTCCCACAGTTTTCTTTTTTTCTTTTGATTTAGAACTGTTTTACAATTTATTTCATTTATTAAAAAATGTAATTTTAGTTCTCTGTCTGGAGATGTGCGAGGTCCTGCACCTGGGCAGGGGCAATCCCAAGTACAAATACAGATTCGGTGGAAAATAGCTTGAGAGCAGCACTGAGGAGAAGGATTTGGGGGTGTCAGTTGATAACAGACTCAACACAAGCAGGCAATGTGCTCTTGCAGCCCAGAAGGCCAACTGTATCTGAGTTGCATCAAGAGAAACATGACCAGCAGGTCGAGGGAGATGATTCTGCCCCTCTGCTCTGCTCTTGTGAGACCCCGCCAAGAGTACTATGTCCAATTCTGGGTCCCCAACACAAGAAAGAATGGAGCTGTTGGAGCAGGTGCAGAAGAGATCATCAGAAAGATAATCAGAAAGTTGAAACACCTCTCTTATGAGGACAGGATGAGAGAGCTGGTGCTCTTCAGCCTGGAGAAAAGAAGGTTCTGGGGGGGACTTTATAGCAGCCTTCCAGTACCTGAAGGGAGGTTGTGGTAAGGTGGGTGTCAGCCTCTTCTCCCATGTAGTTAGTCAAGTTGAGGCAGGGAAGATTCAGGTTGGACGTTAGGAAATACTTCTCCAAGAGAGTGGCCAGGTGCTAGAACAGATTACTCAGGGAAGTGGTAGAGTTATAGTCCCTGGAGGTGCTCAAGAAGCATTTAGATGTTGTACTGAGAGATGTGGTTTAATGGGAAATATTGGTAAAATGTGGATGGTCTGGATGATCTTAGAGGTCTTTTCCAACCTTGGTGATTCTATGACAAGATTGAAACCTACTGAAAGTCATTATCAATTTCCTTGCTGATATCTATACAGACTTGCAATAACATGCTACGTATGCGTTCTACTTTGGCATCAGTAAACTATGATAACATTGACATGCAGAATAGGCCAAACTGTTTTAATAGCTGCTCTTCACGGAATTTTTTTTTAGAGCAGATAAACATTATACAATCAAATATGACACACAAGAATCTATGAAGTTTTGTGTATTGTACAGTTGAGCATGTGTGTACTGAGTGACTTGTGGCTGTAGAGGAGTCAGAGGTAATCAAAGGGAATGAAAAAAAAACAAAAACTGGAAAAGAGTTCTGAAAAAACAAGTTACACGTCTCTGGTTCTGCAAAAAATGAATCCAATCACTCATGTGAGTTGTTGAAAGAAAAGGGAAATACTTCAGAGTGAAGCACTGCGGAAACTTCCGTCACTGGAAATAAATGTAAAGCGTAGAATGTATTATTACCTGTAGCAGTTATTATTATAGTTGTTGTAACTTCCCAGGGCTGTCAGGCACCCAAGGCATATCGCATAAGAGAAAAATATCTGTGTACCAGCATCCACCCAAACCTAAAGACAAAAAGTAGGGTGGTTAGAAGAGGTCAGGAAGGAGTCATAGTTACATCTACACTGACTACAAATTTGCAGAGCAAACCATGCAGAGAAATTGCATCTGGCAAAACTTTTCTAAGTTGCAACCTGAAAAATGATACACTTGTGAGTTAAACTCCCCACTCCCTCCTAAAGGTATAAACAAGAAATAGCCCACCTGGTCTTTACACATTCAAACTAACCTTAAGTAGAAAGAGACACAGAATTTCTAGGAAAAAAAATCCCAGTGAGTAAAAATCTTTAATGGTTTTATTAACACTGTAAGATATAATTTTAAGCTAAGTAAATCAGCTATATTTATCTCATTCTTAACTGATATTTTTAAATTAAAATTTAATAATTTAGCATGAAGAAAATAAAGACAACATATGAGATTTATATATACTACACAAATAGATGAATGGAGGAAAGAGAAGACAGCTTATTTAGGGAAAGGTGATAGGTCTCTGTACAGTTGAAGAATAGAAGTCCTGTAGAGCTAATGAAATAAATAAATTCATAGTATCAGTGACAATATTTATATCCTAAACTGACCAAAAACTGCACTGTAAACCAGAAAAAGAGAAAAGAGCATGAACTGACACAGTACAATTATTGTCCTCACAGCAACCACGGAAAATTAACTTCTTTTTTTTTAAGTTTTAAAAATTAAACAGATTATTTCATTAATCGTTCCACTTAATTTTGGGTGGAATATTACTGGAGATGATTATATGCTTTTAACTTCTGGTTTGGCCATGAGAGTGGTGTGAAGAATCCACACCTGCATAGCTGCACTACTACTTCCAATCCAATAAGTTCTTACTTCTGACCTCTGAGATAAATGAGCTCCTTTAAGACTTTCTTTTTTCAGTTGTTTTTTTTTTTTTTTTTTTTTTAGAGCAGAGCAAGCAAAGCACTTTTCAGAGAAGTAACAAAACAGTGCCTGGCTGATAACCAGAGGCAGTAGCTACGTAGCCATTAACTACTTCGAGTTTGCGACAGGAAGGAGATGAAATTCTACTCAGGTACTGACTTCATGACTGTACTAATAATAGTAAACAAATCCTCATAAATATACAAAGGGGATGTACTTGTTTTGCATCTGATCAAATGAGTCCTTGGTTTCTGGAGTTGCTGAGGGTGTTTCTGTTTAGGAATAACATTAAGATCACATTTGATTTGCATCAATGGCTTAAATGGTTTCATTGCTGTCATACTGAATAAGATACAGCTGATTACATCTCAAAGTTTCACCACTTGGTAAGGGAAAAGCTGCACAGAGAAAGCCTTTTGACAGACGGGCTCTTTAACAAGATTGGAAGCTCCCAAAAAGCTGCAAGTAGCATAGGTCAACTGAAAATGCACGGTCCTCTTAAGCATAAACAAAAGCTAGGAAACTGGATCAGCAGATGTAGAATCTGCTGTTTCCTTCCGTTTCAGACTTTGCACAATGCATTGTTGCAGGGCATTGTACAGCACTTAGATGAGCATTAGCCTTTCCTGTTGGCATACGCCAGCTCCCGAAGTCTGATTATTCCTGGGACAGCAAGTCCTAGTGGAAATGGGGTCAAAGAGGAATTGTACTCTGAAGTGAGAAACTCCAGAGCTGCTTGAGAACAGGAGCAGAGAGCACATCCTTCTAGAGATCCTGAAGTTAGTTTGAAAATAAGAGATAAAAGTCTGGCCTTAAGTGGTATCTTTTCCTCTAATCAAAACGAGTCTCCTCTAAGGACAGTGACACCTGACTGTGAATCAATATAAAAACAGAGGAAAAAACTTTAAATGTTCTGTAATCAAGTGTTCACATATTTATAGAAGTTGCATCTGATTGAAGAGCCCTTTGTATTTGTTGCACTCTGAAATTTCAAAGTAGAAATTCCACCAGAAATTGTGGCTAATGCTTAAAAAGGCACAGGAAGAAATTTCATTTGCTGCAAAGAATAATAGAATCAGTGTAGCTTTGCTTATAGAGTCAGAGAACCAATGAGATTTGATTTGTGATTACCTAATATTTCAATTTCAGGTTTCTGAAATGTCAAAAACATCTACAATTGATCAAGGAAGCAGCAAACTGGGAAATGAAATCAGGAATAACAGGTAGGATTTTGGTAGCTGGAAAAATATGAGATGGTCAACTCTCCTATTTTGTCACAAGCCTAAAGGTGTTGACATTTTAAAAGTAAGCAGCTGATATTACATGTCACTTCTTTATTTTCTTGCCCCAAAAACTGGTGACCATTTGACAAATTTGGCATTAAAAGGCAATGTTCATTAGCAGTTGTAGGTTTTGTTGGCACACAAATTATTTGTTCATCTTAGTTGCACCCAGACTTAGTCATTCATAAACTGTACCTCAAGGAAACTCATTCTCATGAAAACTGGGTACAGATGGCCCCTTGTAGATATTGCTCAAACCCAGGCACCATCCAGCTGGGTTACGGCAACAAAAGCATTATTAATTATTTCTGAGAGTGCTGAATCGCTGTAGTGCATTAGCTGGGCAATTTTGTAATGTCTGGCTTAGACTAAAAGTTGTAACGTTTTCCAAGTATATGGAATGAATGTAGCAGGATTCTGCAGAACAATGAAATTCTGAAGGACAGAGACAAAAGAAAACACTGCCAGCGAACTGCAAAGCAAAGATTTTGGAGCCGGCAGCTGGTGAAAGGCTGGGACAAAAGGAGCATGCTTTTTCTGAGATGTGACTGGGCTCAATGCGTTTCTGGCATGAACAAATTCCAGAGGAAAGAACCTGTACTAGGGAACATCCTGTTCATGCTTTATAAACTATTTACCTTGAAAGTCCTTTAGTTAGTGATATTTAAATCAATTCAATAGCATGCATTCATACGTTTGGGGTCTGAAAATATTTCAGTCTTCCACTAAGTCTTATTTTAAAAGAAGTAACTGTTTCTTCTTATTCACCTCTTATTCTTAAAGTTTCCAGGCAAAAACAATACTAAAGTACAAGAAACGTTATTTATTATAACTTAAAATTAAAAAAAAAAACCAAATGCCAAAGGGTCGACCTTCAATCCCTGTGCTCACAGTTTGCCTCTGGGCTACAGCTGCTGTCCTGACATTCCAGGCCCAGCACCAGCTTAGCAGCAGTATGGGCAAACCAGAAGAATGCAAACACAGCGCTGCTCTTCTTCTGATTCCTGTGCAAAAATAATTCTTGCTGCTTGCTGCTAGGATCAATGAGCCTATGTGATGAAGCTTTTGTCCCAAAGGGAGAAAAGACAGTAAAGAAGCTTCAGCTCTATGCCACGACCTGCTTTGTCTAGGTGGAAATGAGAAGATGCAAATTCTCTTCATGTTCTATTTTCTAAGTGGGAAGGAGAAGAGTAGAGCTGTTTGTGCCCCGCTCTCTATTTTGAGGCTTGCTCGTGCTTTATTCTACAGCAATCTCAGCTGTCCTGCTGATTACCAAATTACACAGGTACAACACAAATCCACAAAACGGAATAAAAACGTTGATTTGTTTACTAATATGGAGAATTATGTTTTGCAAAGTCCACCCCACAAAAGCCAGCAATATCCATGAATGCACATGACCATGTAACCTTAATTCAGTCTTCCTGTGCATAGGGCTAGGATTCAATCTTCGCTTATGTGATAACAGTACTACTCCAGACTCTGCTCAAGGAGAACTGTAGCACATACAATGAATGAAGAAGGAAAAAGTAGGATGTGTAGTGTAGTGAAAACAATATTGAATATTGATCCAGAGGATTAGCTTTGTTTCATGTTGCTGCTATAAAGTTTTCATGTGATGTTATGTCCACAAATCACAACGCTTTCACAAATGTTCTGCCATGTTTCCTGTATTGGAAGAAGGAAACCTCAGAGATCAAAATTCATGTGTGCAGCAGCCACACACCTGCTCTTAGGAGGGAGCCATTGCAACCCAATTCCTTGTCATTTCCATGTATCAAATCATCAGGAAAACACTGTTTATCAAATGCTTTCCTGCTCTCAAAGCAAAGCAAAACTGTACCACAAAGCTATTGTGGAATCCTCCCATGACTTCAGGAAACATGGTCCCAGTATAAGCTGACCTTAACCATCACTTCCACAAACCATCACAACAATCAACTGAATGTATTTTAAAAGGTGCAAATATCTAGGAAAAATGGGAAAATCAAGTAATTATTTTCAGTCTGATCCTCCTAAGAGGTACGTAATTTTAAAAATAGTATATGGTCACCTGAAAAACTTAATTTTGTATCACAGCTAGGAAGATATCAGAGAAATTTCACTATTCTGTCTTGCTGTGTATAGCTCTTCATTTGCGTGTTAGTCTACAGAAAAATGTAAGACACCTAATTAGGTACACTGAGGATATTCTGAGCAGACTGGAGAGGTTAGTTAAAATGTGATAGTCAGAAATTCAGCTAAATTTCACAGATTTCTCAGTGGTATAAAATCACCGTAATACTTCCACTGTCAGGAGGCACTTTGGATAGTTTTGAAATAATGGCTGATCTAAAAGAACTACAACGTTTATGTACAGTTCACTTATCCACATGTAACTGGAGCAATGACCACACACGATGAGTACTCTTGCATTTAATAGAACATGCACACTGCTTATCTTTCTTTCCATGACTTCTGTAATGAACAGTTAACAGCCCTATTAGAAATGAAAAACACATAATGGCTGCTAATATTTGTACTCACTCTTAAGGTGCTTACTTATTTCTAACAAAATCAAGGGAATTCATTTCATGAAGATGCTTTTTTTTCATTCTTAACAGTGAGACTGAACGCTCACTTCAGCTGCAAAACTCAAATCATTCTTAACTACAGAGTGGTTAATGACAATTCCATAATGAAGCACTCCATCTGAGAACATACGAGATCTCATACGAGAGTTAAATGCTGCACTCATTCTCTAAAACATGATATTCCAAATGTCAATAGTCATTTACTTCCCATTTTGTTGTCAGAGAATGAGCAATCACTTCATAGCT